CTCTATCTCTATCTCTCTCTAACTCTATCACTATCATCTCTCTCTCTCTCTCTCTCTCTCTCTCTCTCTCTCTCTCTCTCTGCCAAGAAAAATAGAGAATAGGTATGAATTGGATTAAGGTAAATGAAGCCACAATTTTTCTTTTTCTTTTTGTTTTTAGAGCAAGAAGGAATAGAGAAAAGAAGGGAGATTGAAAATGGAATATTTATCTTTATAAATAAATAATTCAGATTTCTAATTCAAAAAATTTAATAAAGGGAAATTTATTTTAGAATGAGATTCATAGCTGTGTCCCCATATATACATAGTCAAGGTCACAAGCAGTCATGACCAAGGAAGGAAAATAGAGCCTCTATCGCAGTTGTTCTCTCCCCCTGGATACTATTAGTCTGACAACAGTAAGATGCTGAAGAAAAGAATGTTACTGTATCTCCGCGTTAGGTCATCCAGACTCTCATTTACAATGCTGCACAAACCTCTATTTGTCCTGTACATTCAAGCCAATATTCTATTGTTAAGACACGATTGCATTCTACTAAAAGCCCTTCTATTTAGCAAAGATGTCCCACATATTCACCTAAAAGTGTGTTTTAAATAGATGCAGCTGGTTCCCTAGGGAGGAGTCCAGTGTCACTAGTTCAGGACAGCAGTGATAGCTCCCAGCTTCATTTAGCCTCACAGATCTGTTATCTGGGAAAGGAAATAAGACCGAGGATGATACGTAAGGAGGTGTGTGCAAAACCGCTTTTCCACAGGAGGATTCAGACAACTTGCAGGCACTGCGTTAAATCTGCCATATGGTTCGTAATATCAACTGGAGAGAATATTGCAGATGTTGTGAATATCTGGAAGAAAAAATGATAGGTCAAAAAGATAGAAGAAAAATCCTTTTATCAATGAGTATCTGTCATACTAAAAATAGAAGTCGAAGCCTTTTTAAAATTTTCCCCACAGCCCCTTAGGAAGAACATACACCCCTCCACCCCATTTGGGGATGGATTCCTTTCGACTGTGGTGTGAGCAATCGTTGTTATTATCATGTGTAAGGATATGTTTAAATGCCATGCCAATTTAAATCAAAACATTTAGGCTCTTTCATATCACTGCTGTTTGAAGAAAAGACTAGATGTAAGGATTGCTATTTGGCCTCGGATTTCGCCTACGGTGTATAATCAGCTGAGTGATGAAGGGATCTTTTATAAAATAGAGCTTAAAGTTGAAAAATGACTTTTATTTCTTGGGTATGTTATAATTAGAGCATATGCGTGTGTGTGTGTGTGTGTGTGTGTGTGTGTGTGTGTGCGCGCGCGCGCGCGCGCGCATGCGTGTGTTTGCGTGTCGCAGCAGATGCCAAAACCAATTTTGTTTATAGTACCTCTTGAGTTCCTTCACTTATGTGGCAAATGATGTGCCTTCCAATGAATTCATTGATAGTAGATAGAAAATACCCAAGAGCAGGAAAACTGCTGGGAAGGGAGAAAGAGACACCGTAAGTGCAGCGCTGCTTTTTGCCTCCTAGTTCTTTGACCTTTCCTTCATTTTAAGTGATGCCAACACCTGGAGTGAGGCTATTAGATTAGCAATGTGAGAAATAGTCTCTCTTTTCACTCAGCGGAAATATACTTGGGAAATTAATGCAAACTTACTGTCTCTACTAATGCTGACAAGGAAAACTAGGGGATGTAATCATGTGATTTCGGACTTACCTAGGGGCATTTATTCAAAGACCCCATTTGGATTTGATTTGTCTCTTTGCTCCATTTTGTATTTAATTATATTTTACAACCTTTTAAGAGAAGAGAATCAAACAGTCCTACTCTGCTCCTAATACTCGCTTGGTAATGTTAGAGTACAGGAGTTAGTACTCACAGCCGGGGAGACACAAGCTTCAGAGTTTCTCGGGACCAAAGACTTGGTTCCAGTGGACATCATATTGTTTTGTGTCATCTGTCAGTGAGCCACTGATAGCTGATTAAAAAAACACTTGCTTACCAATTGGATGAAACCGGGAAGAGGGTCATTGCTAACTGCAGTGGCATTACTCCATCATCACCCTAGTGAACTGTCATCAGTGTGGTGTTACTCACTTAATGACAAATGCACTTATTTAGTCATCAAACACAATCAGGATGTCATTGAGAGTCAGCTCTATTTTAGTCACAAAATTTCATTCCATCCAGGAGAACCGTCTCCATAAAGACCAGACAAAATGTGTTCCCTAATGGAAAGAGAAAAGGGCACCAAGAGAAAAAGAACCCACACACAGCAGCAGTGACTGTTTCAGGGCAGACGTTCATGAACGCTCCTAAGCAGAGGGCTTTGTGGATAAATCCTGGGCAGAGCAAATGCCAGCTCATTCTCTAGACCCCACCAGTGCTTGTGAGTCCCCATCTGCTTGCTAATCTTGTAGGGCCCCCGCCATCAGCCGTCCTCAAATGCAGAGCTTGCAGGGCTGTGGCCTTCAGCCTAACAGGTCACTCTCTCCTTTCTCCCTTCTTCGTGTGGCCCGTCTGTTTAAAGAGCACGGCGAATGCTGTACACAACAGAGGTTTTACATTGCTACTTCTCCATATCCAGAGGTTTTAAAGGATTGAGCAAGAATGTGACTTTAATTTGCTTTGGATAAAGGCTAATTACAAGGATATGTGTTTGCAGGGCCTGGGTTCTTTGTTATAGGAGATATTCTTTTTGATATACATTCCTCCAGGGCTTATCTTTCATTTCCTACTGTTCCCACCTACTCATCCACTTGAGGTTGGATTTATCTGAAAGGGATTTGGGCTTCTGCATCTATAATTATGCCTGTTTAATTTCTTTGTAAGGATAGGAACCATGTGTTAGCTTTATCAGTGAACACTTGGCCCTCTTGACCGTCAGATTTTCAACTTCCATTAGGATCGTAGTAAGCTAAGCTAAAGGAAGCGAAAAAATAAACTCTCTTTCTAAAGGTCAGCCTTCTTAATTAAATGAAAACTCAGGCAGCAGCATTAGAAAATGAAACGACTACAGCCCGTGCTCTTTCTGAGGAGACCCTACAGAGTATCCAGCTGATCCTGCCGAAAGGAAGGCAAACTGAGTTATTCCCAGATGTGTAAGAGGCTGCAGCATTACAATGGCGGTTCCTTTTTGCAAACACACAGAATTGACTCTGTGTGATCATGGCTATAATGGAGCCCCAAGTCCTGCAACTGTGATGTGTCCAGTCCACCTTATCTCACCTTCTCTTTGACTTACCACGACCTTGGCTGCTATCCCATGACACTTTCTGCCTTCACGACCACTATCTTCCAACCAAGGCCAAGAAATCAGTTAAGTAGAGAAGAAATCAGTAAAGAGGCTCTGGGTTGGGTACTTTCACATGTAGGAATTCACATAAACCCTGTGACGCAAGTATCACCACTTTTTTTTTTTTTTAACAGTAGAGCAAATTGAAATTCAGAGAGGTTAATCATCTTACCTAAGGTCACACAGATGGTAAAGTACCTGGTTAGACTAGACTGTCTTCAGTGCCCATTCTCCTTCCATAAGAGCAAGTGTTTGTATTGCTCTGGTTGTCTTCCCGCTGCCTCATTTGGAAACTCCTAGATGGCATCTGAGAATGACATTACACCTTCCCAGGACCATCACAGAGACTACCCTGTCTAGACTCTCAGCCTAGCTCTGTGCCTTGATTTGCTTCTTGTTCCCCAGTAGCTCCTTGGCCCCTTCTGGTTGGTCAGGAGCTCTGTGACATCCTCAGATGAGTAAGTGAAGCCAGAGGTTTTCAAAAGCAGTGAGAGACTGCAGGGCTGAGGCTGACAGTTTATTCTAACTCCCCTCCTTAGACGGCTATATCATTTCTACCTTCCTCCAACAACATTCCAGAGAATGGTGACCCTATGACACTGCTCTCCATTTCAAAAATTAAAGAATTCTGGATCTGTGATGTTATTCACTGATTATATTTATAATCAATCAAATACATATGTTGATTGTGGTTATTTTTTATTAGTTTCAGGTGTACAAAGATGATTGTAGTTATTCTTAGTAAATATATAGGAGTGCTTAAATTGTTAAAAACTATCACATAATCCGAAAAGAGTCAGAGCAATATTCCAGACTCTGATTGTTTTAAAATAAACGAAGGATTCCAATTAATTATAATTACGAAAACTCTTACATTTGAAGGCTTTTTCAGAGAAGGAATGTGTGCTGAGGCACATCTGCCCCACTATGCCACTCCACAGATGGGGCACTATCCAAATTGAGCTCCAGGGGCAGCCACTGAACTTGTGTAATGTGGTGGCATCTTCTAAAATAGGAGGCAGTGAAACCAAATGGTTTAAAGCCATGGTTTGCATCTCTGGCTGCAATTAGAATTGCCAGGTAGCTTTTACGATCAGTGCCTGGGCTTCACTTGAAGCAATGAAGTCAAAACCTCTGAGGGTAGAGCCACGCATCAGCACTGTTTTAAAACCACTGGTTTAGCTCCAGGGATCTGGAGATATGGAAACTGAATTTGAATCCCAGCATTTAAACTCTCTAAGCTTTATGTGCTTCATCTGTGAAAGGAGGCGATGAACTGTTCTTACTTTATAGGATTTTGAGTATAACCCCTGCCACTGCACTCCTAGTAACCCTTTAAAAATGATGATGATTAAGAAACATATCACTGCTGCTCAAATACTTTCATATTTTTTAAAAATAAAAAGGATACTATACTACCAATGAAGCCCATTGTTTTCTCAGATTCAAAAAGTATGTAAACTACGATGAATATAGGATGGGTCAGAAGACTCATAAATCAGTCAAACCTGCAGAAATCCTACTAACCCCTGAACGTGGAGCAACCACTGGAGATAACACCTGACTAGCGTCTGGCAGTAAATACCCTGCCCTTGGCTAACTTATCTTTCCATTCTAACCACACTCTGCTTTATCGCGTGTGTCCACATTACTTCAACTCTCTCTCAAATACCAAGCCCGAATTTATAGTGACCAGCTAGTTACTTCTAGTGACCTCAAGTACTTCAACGTTAACCTTCTCCTAAGTTCTACTGCAACGAAAATTGTGGAGTTTATTACTCGACTTTTTGTTTTCAACATGATTTGTGAGACTAATGCATTTTTTTAAATTATTCGTCTAAAAGCTAGTACTATTCTAATTCTGGTTTGTAACCCCAAATTTTGATTTCCACATAATGGATGAGACTAATGCATCTAAAAGAATTGTTAGGTTATTTATTTGGACACACAATGTGTAAGGATGTAATTTTGTAACATCAACAACCAAAAAGGGGTAGGGATGAAGCTGTAAAGTAAGAGATTTTGTATCTTATTGAAGGTAAGCTGGTATAAATTTAAAATAGTATGTTATAAGTTTAGAATGTTAAATGTAATCCCCATGCTAATCAGAAGGAAAATAGCTATAGAATATAATCAAAAGAAAATGAGAAAAGAATTTAAACATGTCACTACAAAAAAAAATCAACTAAATACCAAAGAAAGCAGTAATGCAAGAAATGAGAGACAGAAAAGCTATAAGGCATAGAGAAAACAAATAGCAAGGTGATGGAAGTTCTCTCTTACTAGCAATTGCTTCAAATGTTAATGAATTAAACTCTCTAATTAAAAGACAGATTAGCAGAATGGATACACAACACGCTCCAACTCTATGTGATATACAAGAGACTTACTTTAGATCCAAAGAGACAAATAGATTGAAAGTGAAAGGAAGGAAAAGGATATTCCATGCAAATAGTAACCAAAGAGAGCAGGGATGGCTATATTAATGTCAGCAAAATAGACTTTAAATCATAAAAGATTACAAGAGACAAAGAAGGACATTGTATATTTTTTTTAAGTTTCAATACAGCCAGAAAATATAACAATTATAAACATTTGTACATCTAATGACAGATCATCAAACTAGACGGAGCAAAAACCGACACAACTGAAGGGAGAAATAGACAGTTCTACAATAATTGTTGGAGAATACAGCCACTCCAAAATGGTTATGGAACCAAAAATCCAAGCGAAGCTGGTAGAACTGATGTTACATGGATTTATGTCAGCTTAACTTTCTTACCCTCAAGCAAGTACCTTTTCTCTGAGAAGAGAAAATGAAAGAAAAAAATAAGCGATGATGAACAAGAAACTGAGAAGCACAATAAATTAGGTAGGTGACAAGCAAAAGACAAAGGGAAAGGATCCAGGGAGACAAGGAAAAAGCAAGAAACAGCCATGGCAACTTGTAATCAAACAGGAAGAAGCCTCTACATTAGTTTCCTACCTCCAGCTGCAAGACCAGCTCTCATTACGTTCTTAACTCTTCACGTAACCATTCACTACAGGCTAATGTGTCTGCCTTAGATCCTCTCAAGAAAACTGAGAGATTATGAATAGAACCAACATGAAAAGGAAAGGAGGGCACAAACCAATAGGCCATTATCACTGACCCTGAAATAAACTCACATTAGTCATGGTCATCAAAAGAAGCTTTCTGCGAGATCGTTGCCGAGGACCACTGATGTTACAAACCAGTGTTTCTCAATTGTGGTCATGGTGGGATCACCTGGGGAGCTTTAAAAACAAAAGAACACAAAAAACACCCAGAACCCACCATTAGAGATTCAGATTTAATTGGTCTGAAGTAGGTCTTTATACTTTTTATTTAATTACCAGGTAATTACAATGTGATCTCAGGCTTAGGACCACCTTTACAAAAGGAAAATTTCCCAAACATGCTGCTGGCTTATTTATTGCTAAAATAACTAATTTTGACTATCACTTTTTTATTTGCTTGAAATCCAAGGGCATTTTCTCAATGCTTTGATCTCATTCATCTGACAGCTTCAAAATCATCCTTCCAATTGTTTTTACCACATATACAAGGAACTGTGTAACAACTTTTGTATCTTATTTCATTTTATTTTAGCCACTATCTTACAAGGAGCTCAAGTCCTTCTGAATCCAAAGCCATTAAGTCTTTGATCCAAAGTCCAAACTCACCCCTCTCTCATTACACTTCTCAAAAGGCATTTTAGCCTCTTGTCCTCCACCGTTGGTACCCTGCTGTTTGTATGGAATGAATATCAGTGAGTTTTGAGCCAACGCCAGTCCCATCCTTCTGGAAGAAAACTCACCTATATCAGAAAGAGAATGAACTCTTCCTACGGCTACTATTCTTCTCTCCTGTGTCTCGCAGTGTTAATTACTCTGCTTTTGAGAAGATACAGTGAGGGTTTACATATCTTCCTAAATCCTTATATCTTAATAGGATGTTAACAGTCCGCTGCTGTCATCGGAGCAAAGCTTTAAGGTTTCTCCTCTTTTTCATAATCAAAGCACCACACAAAGCACTTGAGTGAATGACGGGATTTCCCAAAGGCAAGTTCAGGCACTACTGATAATAGTCCCAGAATAGAGATGTTGGAATGAACAAGTGGAAAGAATCCTAGGGCTGCATTCAGAAGATACAGACTGAAACAGACTTGGAACGCTTCCATACTTCATGACCTTGAGCAGATCATTTAGTCCAATGTCTTTACCGTGGCAATGGTAGTTTCTGCCCCAGCCAGACCGCAGATATAGTGAGCACGTGAAAGGCCATCCGTAGGAGGACATTTTGTACTTTTGAAAAGTAGAGTACAAATGGATATTTTTGTTCCACTTCCCTCTGTCACTTGTTTCTAACTCCTCTCCATGAGGTATGTGGATTCTCTCAGCACCAGCATCACAGGCACAGCTCTGTGAAAGCTGAAGATGCCAAGTAGCTGAGCAAGGCACCCGAGCAGGCAGGCTGAGGTCAGAGGTTAGCCTGGGCTAGAGGGACCAGAGCAGAGGGTGACACAGTAGGGAAAAAGAATTGGAAAAAAGTAACGCATACCTCTACCTCTAAAGTCTAGTGCTTGCTAGACTTTACTTTGCTAAATGTTAAAAGTATGTATTTCTTGTAAGTATATATGTTTGATGACACTTTTAAGTTTTCTTTACGGAGTAATCAAGGGATTCTAAGGAATAGGGACAAGACTATCAAAAAGGCTAAAGCAGAAAGCTCATTAAAGAGGCTTAATTATATTGGGAGAGAACATCAACATTTGATCCCCAAATGCTGAAAATTTATGACCAATAATACAGTCCCAGAAACAGAAGGAAGTAAGACAGCCTTAAGAAACCTAATTTACATGCTGACATTTGTCTGACTCGCTGTAAAGGAAAGAACATGCGCTAAAACAAAATGAACATGTTTCTATTATTGCATGCAATCATAACAAAGCATGAGCCCAGGGAACCCACTTATGTGTACCTTTATTCTGCATATTAAATTAATCATAAAATAGTAAGTATTTCTTACTAATAGTAACTATGGGTCAGAGCTGTACTGTTGTTATCTCAAATAATTTTCAGTACATTTCACAAGATGATTACAATTCCACCCCTTCCCCACCATCATCTGCAGATTGGCAAATAGAGACTCAGAGAGACAAAGCATCAAAGGACATAGAGGCTAATCGGTTTTTTTTTGTTTGTTTGTATGTCTTTTTTTTTGCTTTTTTGTTTATTACTTTTTTTCCCTCTTGGAATCAAAGATTTGCATTGCTTTAATAATTACTATAGAAGGATACACTTTTTCTTTTCATAAGCTATATTCTTAACAAATAGTAAAGGCAAAGATTGATAAAAAAATATATTTCTATGTCCTTGGTTTTAAATAAGTGAAAATTGGGAGAAATAGATAGCCCAAACTAAACTCTTCATATAGCTAAGAAACCATAAAAAATAAAATTTTCAATGGAAAGAAGCATGTTTGTAGATTGATAATAGAAATATTGGGTTGTCAGAAAAGTCATGATGTATTTTTTCTATTTTTTTCATTGCAAATATGTGTCATGACTTTTCCGACAACCCAATAGTTAAAATTAGCAATAGGACAATAATTATTTTAGAAGAAATGAAACAGCAGTATATTTAATCAATATGTTAATATGAGTCACAGAATTATTTTGGAATCCATGCTTATTTGGAAAAAGTATGCCTTTAACAAAAAGACGTATATTTTGCAATAAGTATAAAAATAAAAATGTAAATGAGATGCTTATGTAACCTCTAATGCTAAAATAGCACTGAACTATATCATTGGTGATATTGACAACCTTAGTGAAGAAGTCACTCAATGATAACATTAATAAATTGGCATGTTTTCTTAGTCAGATTGACACTACTCAAGACACAAGCATAACTGACATTCCCTCGGTAAAAATGCAGAGTGAAGGAACATAATCCGTGAAGGAACATCTGATGTCTATAGTAAAATTAAGGTTAAGGACTTGGCAAAATATGTTACAGACTGTTACAGATGTTCCCAGATTAAATCACATTTCTATTAAAACTAAAGAGATGCTCAGTTAATAAAACCTAGAATCACAGAATTGTTGAACCAAATGGGATTTTTAGAGCCCAGTCATTCCCATTATTTTAAAGCTGAGGAAGCTGATATAAAAAGGTTAAATGATTAGCCCGAAATCCCTGAGTAGGTTATCAGTGTCTGGACTAGAACCCAAGTTTCTCCTGCTATTTCAGGTTACCTCTCACTTATGACAAAGGGACATTTTAATGTTTTACTTAAAAATAGAGAGAAAGTAAATTATACTGTGTGGTAAAATTAGATACAGGAATATTAACAAAACAGACCATTGCATCTGTTGGATCTTATCCTGATTCCTGCTCTTGGATATTGCCCAATCTTGTAGTTAACATTAAAGTCCAAATTCCATGGTATTTTCCAGAAATTACAAAAACAAAAAAAAACAAAATGTCAACTTAGTATTAAATCTAAAACACTTTTTTTTTTAAAGTTCAGTAGTACCATTAAAGATCAGCAAATATTAGCACCATGCTAATCTGTAGGTGGCAGTTCTTCAAATTCAAATGAGGAACAAACACTTTCTCAGTTGATCAAGATTTAACATTATCCAGAGTTTGGGCGTTAAACTTCTGTGAATCACAAAAGATTTGGCAACAAATGGGCAAATACTTAGCTAGGGAAACCAAAAACACTACAGTGAGTTTCAGATGCTTCCTTTCACAAATAAATCAATTTGACAGTGAAGCAACAACATACTTAGAGGGGGAAAAATATATGTTCTAAGATGCATTTAACTTATTGCTTTTGATTTTTAAGACTTTGTAAACTGAAAATAATCTCTTCCATCATGTCAGGAGGAATTCTGGCTCCAACTTCTCACCTACCTACTGGAATAGAGTTTCTACAGGACAGACACCAACAAAATGAGGAGAACATAGCTGACTTTTCATCCCAATAATGAAGAGGCAGAGTTACTCATCTATTCCCATCTTTGCCAATGGCAGAACTCGTCCTTGTCCCCAATAACCTGAAAGTTAATATGGACTCCTCATTGTGCCCATCCCCCATCTCTAATCATTCTACTTTATCATGACTACATCTCACTGCTCTACCTTTATGTTAGCAGTACTCCAACATATGGGTATCAGAATCTCCTGGGGAACTTGAAAAAAATTACAAAGGTTTGAAGTAGGATAGGTTTATGCTCTATCCTACTTCCAGGAGTCTGGGCCTCTGTAAGCTTTATATGCAGCAAATTTTAGAAACATTATTGTAGTGTATGCTGTTAATATCCCTCTTCCAGATAATGATATTTGCTTCTTAATTTGTTTGCTTTATACCAGCTTCTTAATTACACCAGTCCCTTCTTCAGCAAACCTAAAAATGTCCAAGCCTAAAAACTAAAATAAATAATGGTTGCTTATCACACTCAAGAGTAACTCTAAATTTATTATGCATCTAAGGACTTTCAGGGTTTCGGTTTTGTAGTCCTCTCCAGCCTCACTTTTCATCACTCCAAATTCCATGTACATTCCTTTCATGCACAGAGCTTTCTCAGAATATGTGTCTTTTGCATATTCATCCACATATTCATTCAAAAATCATTTATTGTGTTCCTACCATCTGTATAGCACTGGATCTAACACTGGGGATAGGGTGGTGAACAGATGGAAATCATACCAGTGCTCAAGGACTGAAAAATATAAAAAGAAATGCATTTAATTTAATGAGAATTGGGATAAATACTATCATGAGTAACTATAGGGTGTTACGAAAGCATACAATGGCGGCCTTACCTGGCCTGGGGATTTTCAGAGGTAGCGTCCTCAAGGAAGTGATTTTTGAGCTAATATTTAAAGTTTGGATAGAAATTACCAAGATAGATGGCAGGAGGTTTAGAGGTGCCTTAAGATGGAACAGGATGTGCAAAGGTCTTGCGATTGGAGGGGAATAACCTTTTTCAAGGAACTAAGAGAAGGTTCTATAGGTTAAAACAAAAACAGGGAAGGAGGGAGTTGCCAGAGATAAAGTTGGGGATGGGCCAAAAAACCCGTCCATGGAAGGACTCGGTAGGTATAGTTTTTCTTTATCCTAAGGAAAACTGATAGTTATTAAATACTTCTAAGCAGATAATTGCCTCAAATCCACATTTAAAAAGATCACTCTGACCACAATGTAGAGAATAGTTTAAGGAGGAAAAGGTTGGAACATCTGCTGCTTTACAAAAGGTCCTTGCAGCAGTCTAGGAGATAATATTATAGATGGTGCTTGGACAAGCCTCTGACCACCAGAGCTGCTGCAGAAAAGACGGTGAGGGAAGAAGAATTCAAGGCATGCTTTACGCTCTACTTGAGTCATCACCTTTTCCCCCACCTCATCTTTCGGTTTCATCTACAAGGGCTAGATTAAATGGGGATTTCCTCCTCGGGTTCTGTTAGCACTGGGCATTTACTCTTGCTACATTTTAAATATTGGGTTCTTCTGTCTCTCCTATACTGAAATGTAAAGTACTAATTATCTCTTATCTCCACTGCCTAATTGGAGATAAGACTAATCCCATGTTTCCATAAATATTTGAATGAGTTGACCATGAATTGACCAGCCATGTGATCTTGGGCAAGTGATTGCCACAATAGACCTTAATTTCCTGACTTAGTAAGTAACCTCATCTGCTCATCCATTGTGAGTCCTTGGAGCCAAATCCCAGCAAGCAAATCTGTTTCCTGGCTTTGTGTACTGACAATGACTCAGGCAGATCACAGCCGGAAAGATTTAACTGAAAGGATTTCATGCAGAGACTTTTTTTATAGATATTGGGGCTGGCTCAAAAGATCAATAAAATATATATATATGAAACCCAGGAGCTCCAGAATTCGAACGCCTCTACCACCCCTACGCATAAAAAGATATGGGCAAGGAAGAGTGTTAATGAAGCTTAGTGAGAGATGGAGCTGTGGGTGTGGGTCTCTCCATCAGAAGTTGCGGCCAGAAGGGCAG